GGGGGGGGGGGGGTAGAAACTGAGAGGTTGGCTGTTCCCCTGCCCCTGTTGCGGGTTACCCTCTGTGTGTGGGGCAGGGGCCTTGGCCTGGCATCACCTACATCCCCCATCATCCACTCCCTGTTCCCCGTTTGCCATTGGGTGATTGGAGCTTGCCTGCCAGGGATAGGGACTGAGAGGTGGTCAGTGCCCCTCATAATGATTGGTTGAGCAGTCGTTCTGCTGTTAGGATCAGTTTGCATATTACCCTTTTATTATATAGGATAGAAACACTAAGAGATGGATATAAACAACCATAATACAGAAAAATGTTAATTAAATGCCAAAAAGGAAGCAGATAATTTATTTTGAAAATTTATAGAGGGAATCATATGACTTTGGGGCATTTCAGTGGGAAGGGAAGGTACTGTTAGTATCTGTAGATCACCTGTGTGGAGGGCACAGTTTGACTCTCCCCAGGATCATAATGACTTTTGTATGTCGTGGACTAAGAATATAAGCTTTGACATCAGTAGGACCTTTGTTTGTATAAAGGCTCTGGATTTTGCTTAGGGACATTAGGCACATTTCTGTCTCTAAACCTCAGGTTTTCTCATCCATGGAGTTAAGAATATCTACCTTCACTGGGTTACCATGAAAATGGAATCTAATATGTGGGGAGCGTTTGGCACATAGTGCATGGCAACAAAAGCGGTAATGACTGCTGCTGCTGCTGCTGGTGCATTCATAGGTTGCTGCCTTTAGCTGACCGTGGAAGGCCCAACTGATGGTATGTCTAGGTATTTCGATTTGTCATCTTCGGAGCGAATATCTTCTTTTTTTGTCTTAGAAGGTCAGTTTGTATGTTGGGAATATATTGTTATTGGGAATATATTATTGGAAATCAGCGTAAATGATCCAATCTGATGCTGAATCTGGTACCTGTATCTAATAAAACATAATGTATATTATATTTTATGTAAGTATGTGTTTGTGTGTATTAGGTATGTGCATATTTGTGTGGTATTTTCCAGGTTTGAAAGGTAAGTTGCTAAAGACATACTTTGTCATTTGCAGGTCGGCGGAAGCAGAAGTGGGCTTTGGATCCAAGAAATACCAGGTGGAGTAATGATGATTCCAAGTTTGGCCAGAGGATGCTGGAGAAGATGGGGTGGTCTAAAGGAAAGGTATTTCGGAGAAGAGCATAAAAAAAGTCAGATCCATTCAAAGAGATTACAAGTCAGGAGAATGCATTTTTCTTAGGAGACTTAGAAAAATTTATGTTTTGGATCAGTAAGCGATTTTGGAGAAATAACTGAACTATAGTGACCTAGTGATGATAAAGTTAGAATTGAACATAAATGTTAGCTCTCTTTATCATTTTTTTAATTTAATTTTTTATTACAAAGGGTATTACATATGTGTCCATTTTTTCCCCCCGCCCTAGACAGTCCCCTAGCCTCCCCTATCCCCCAGTGTCTTATGTCCATTGGTTATGCTTATATGCATGCATACAAGTCCTTTGGTTGATCTCTTACCTCCC